TTGATGTGGACTCTGAGGATTTTGATTGGAGGTTTGTTGTCTTGCTAAGTTGTTGTAGCTCATCCTTATTTTCTACGTGATTTTCAGGTTCTGGGAAGGGGAAAGAAGTCCAGGAATAGAAGTTCAGAGTCTGATCTGTTATAAGTATTTTGTCCTTTTGATTTTTGTACAGTCATGGCTTTATGTATCTGTTATAGGTATTATAGTAGCTCTGTGCATCTGTTTTTGTCTATATGTTTGGAAGAAAGTTCTGAAATAAATTCCAAAGCCAGATCCTGGAATCAGTTCAGTCAGTCTGAAAGTTCAGGCCCCACGATCCGATGCGAGCGGGACCCGTCCCGGTCGGGTTGGGTCATGACAAAAACGTTCCTCCAAAGGAAGATCTCTCCCCCACTGTGGCCAAAGGATCTCCCGCTCCCGTTTGTAATGACTGCCTCTGAGGTTTGAGTTTTTAATTTTTTTTATGCATTTTGTTATTTCAGTTAATTTTCTAGACATTCGAGAGAGGATTTACATTGTTATATGCTTTTTGTTGATGATATTCTTATTGTTGATAAGATTAGAGAGGGAATTTTGGGTAAGCCTTTAGCCAATATCTTTTTGCTTTAGTCATGCATGTTCTCACTAGACATTCAATAGAGGATTTACCTTGTTGTATGCTTTTTGTTGATGATATTCTTCTTGTTGATAAGATTAGAGAGGGAGTTTAGGGTAAACTTGATTTATGGAGGTCAATCATACGGTCTAAAGGTTTCGCTTGAATAGATCTAAAACTAAATATATGAAGTGTAATTTTATTAGTAATAGACCTAGTGAGGGGTTTGTGACTTTGGGCGATCAAGTCATTAATAAAACTGCTAGTATATTCTGGTGGTTTGTCGGCAGCATCCGGCGGTAAACCTATGACACGCCGGTGGTCCAACCGCCAAAACTTCCTTCGGCTGCATCGCCTGTTCTCCGCTGATAATATTACCAGTAGTCTACTATACGGAATATATACCGGTGATTGAACAACCGGTAGACCGCCGGTAAAAAAATCGGCGATCACCGGAGCTTAGATCGCCGGAAAAAAACCAGCGGTATAAACCGCAGGTAAAGGTTTATGGTGTCATTTTTTTCCATTGGTTTTTAACCTCCAACAGGCTGTCGGTTTTGCTCGTAACTGTCGAAAAATAAATAGTAACCGCCTGAACGAATCGCCAAAAATGAGTGAATTTCCTATAGTGTCTTCCACTAGAGCTGCTCCAACCATTTCACATATATGCTCATTTCATATCCTATATCTAAGAGTAAAACCACTTATCTGCCTGAGCATCGTCATCTCTGTAACACTTAACTTAATATTATGCTTCTCTTTTGATGGCCAATATTATGCAGCATAAAAGAATTACAGGTCTCACCACATCTTATATAATTTTTCACTTAAGTTAGAGGGGGACTTTTCTATTATACAATAAGCTTAATGCATTCATCCACTTCACTATAAAAAATAAATATATATGTGACCAAACTCTCTAAGGCGATTCGCTCTTATCTTATCTTCCACTATAGCTAGTCCAAATATTTCAAGCATATGCACATTTCGTATCCTATTTCTAAGAATAAATCCACTCATCCATGCACCTGAGTATCCCTCATCTCTATAACACTTAGCTTAATATTATGCTTCTTTTTGAATGGTCAACATTCTGCATCATAAAGCAGTGTAGGTCTTACCATTTTATATAGAATTTTCCTGTTAAGTTTGAGGGAGACTTTTCTATCACACAACAAGCTCGATGCATTCCTCCAATTCAACCATACAATATGAGCATATATGAGATCAAATTATCTAAGGTGACTTTCTCTAATCTTTTCTCTTCCACTATAGCTAGCTTCTCTAACCATTACATGAATTAATATGCTCATTTCATATATTGTCTCTAAGAGTAAAGCCACTCATCCACCTAAGCATCCTCATCTCTGCAACACTTAACTTCATATTATGCTTCCCTTTTAATGGCCAACATTTTGCACCATAAAAGCATTGCAGGTTTCACCACATCTTATATAATTTTCCTTTAAATTTGAGGGGGACTTTTCAATCATACAACAAGCACAATGCATTCTTCCACTTTAACTATCCAACTCGAATTATACTAACAATATCTCCATCTATTTTACCATCACTATGAACAATAGGCCCATGATATGTAAAATGTGTACTCTTATTAATGACTTGATCACCCAAATTCATAATCCTAATCTTTAAACTCAATGGTTGACATCTATAGTTCAACTTTCCTTCAACTCCCTCTTTACTCTTGTCAATAAGAAGAATATCATTAGCAAATAGCATACCTTGGTGATATGGGCTGGGCAGCAATGAGGAAGTTTGCCCTACCCACATATTTGCAGGGAGAGAGTTTGGCCGATTCAATGATTTGGACAATGAAGCATGCAAAAGAAAGAAAGATGGATACTTTTGCAACGACCAAGCTCCCATGAGCACGAAAGAGGTGTGAATTTGAATACAAGAAAAAATGGTAAGAGGATGGGTGACTTCAAATGTGACAGGAAGGAACGCCGTTGAAGGTGGTGGCGAATGCAAATGTCATCAAAGGCCACGGGAAGGAACGTCATCTAAGGGGGATAAGAAGCACCATAGTCGAAGTCGAAGGAGGATGAGAAAAAGAACAAATGAAATGGATGCTTACTCGGTCAGTTAGATAGGGAAATTAGCATCGGATATGAGGCAGATAATCTGCTGCAATTCCGCCACTAAAAATCATCAAAACTTTATGTCACAAATCCATCACCATTTAAAAAAAAAATACCTCAAAGTCTATCACAAATTCGCAGCCACAAAAAGTTGACTTTCTTATAGTGTATGAAGGCCCTCTAAGAATGTCGGATGCTTGGCGATGAATTAGTTGCATGCTTGCTCATTTTGTTTATGGAATGGAAGACTAAAAATATTGTGGTGCTAGAAGATGACTTGCTGACTGTGGTCCTTGGTATATGTCTGACAATAGTTGACAAGAAATATCTGATGTAAGTTGATGTCAGATAGTCTAACTCAAAACATCTCTTTGTAGGAGACGAAAATGGAAAAAATAAAAAGATTGGTTCCATCGAACAACTATAGGCAATATTGATAGCACACATTGGTGTTAACATTGATCATCAATGTTGATCGACAACGAATGTTGTATGTTGTAGATTGTTGGAAAACATCAAGCTATTGAGAGGGGTGGTGTTGGAATTAGGTGATGTAATACCATGTGTTATGAACGATTTTGAGTGCTGACAAGCAGAGCTCTATAATTTTTTTAGTCTAAAAATTTTCTCCACCAAAATCCTTTTTGGGGATCTCTTTTAATACATAAAATCACGACCTATTTAATGATTTCTAAAATGGACATTGTTCAATTAGAAAATATCATCCCATCTAATCAAAGTTAATCTTAATATCCTTAATCCTTCAATATTTTTTAAACATCATAATGCCTTAATGACATAAAAATAAGTGAAGCTCATCAAATTCTTCTCATTAAGATACTCATTTTCATTATAAATTTGTTTAAAATAGAGTTTATATAATTTTCAAGTTGATTTCAAATATTTTTTATTTGAATACTCAAATACTTTGAGATCTACATCAATGTCCATTCCTAATCAAATATCTTCTCCAATCACACATTAATAATATATTTTAAAAAATAGGTACATAAAATATACATATAAACTCACTACAATAATTGAAAAAAATTTAATATAAATAATTTTTTTCATAACCCTACGATTAGCTTAACCTGTCCCAATTTAAAACCCCATCTACAACACAATTATTTTTCTCTACTCCCACCAACTCCTCCATAGCACATTGCTGAGTGCTGACCTCCACCTCAATTAATTATATTCCCAGCCATCGATCACATCAAGCTCCTCGCCCATCATCGGCGCTCAACCGCAAGCCCAAGATGCTTTTCACCCGCCGGAAGTCGCCGCCGCTCTACAGGTCGTCGGAGCCCCTCGTCGCCAAGCAAGCTGCCCCCTTGTCCTCAAGCCGCAAGCACAGCAGTCTTCTCTCCATATTCGCCGTCGTCCTCTCCGCCCTACTCCTCGCTACTTTCATCTACAACATACAGCCCGCCAAGTCAACCCAAGACCTCCCCGTTGACCTTCCCACCCCAACCCAAGCTCACACAGCGAACACCAGCATAATTGCCAAGACGCCCGCGGCGGCGGAGGTGGTTGAGAAGAATTTTGTGGGCGTGCCGGCGAGCTGCGACCTCTTCTCCGGCGAGTGGGTGTACGATAACGTCACGCGGCCATTTTACAGAGAAGAAGCGTGTGAGTTTCTCACCGCTCAGGTGACGTGCATGCGCAACGGCCGCGCTGATGATAGTTACCAGAACTGGCGGTGGCAGCCTCGGGACTGCACTATTCCCGAGTACGTTTTCGTTTGCCGATTAAGTTAATTGTAGCTTAATTTTGCCCTAATTAATGGAACTGCAGAAGCCATTGCTGAGCTTAAGTAATAATTTCTTGGGATTCGAACAATTGTTTTCATTATTGTCTGGGGATTGGGGGAAATGTGCAAATTCATGAAAAATAATAATTATTTTTTAATAACAAATAATTCAAAAAATTACACCCATGCACTATTTTATTATTTCAAAATTATTGAATTAAAAAACTAATGTTAATTATTTTATTTATAATTATGTGGGGTCTTCATATATTGAAGGTTCGACGCAAGGCTAATGCTGGAGAAGCTGAGAGGAAAGCGGCTCATGTTCGTTGGTGACTCGTTGAACCGGAATCAGTGGGAATCCATGGTCTGCCTGGTTCAGTCCGTAATCCCTCCGGGGAAGAAAACCCTAATAAAAAATGGTTCCTTCAACATTTTTCGAGCTGAGGTAAGTAAAAAAAAAAATCTCACAATTTCTCAAGTCTTGACTGGTGATCTAAATTGGTATTTTAGCATTATTAGCAATTTAATTATTAATAATTATTATTATATAGATTTTAAATTATCAGAATGCTTGGTCAAATACTTGGCATTAATATTTAAATATGCTATAAATCAAATAAATCTCTAGAATAATTAAATATAATAGTTAATAAAATTTTTGATGTAGGATTATGATGCCACAGTAGAGTTCTATTGGGCGCCATTTCTTGTGGAGTCTAACTCAGATGATCCAACTAAGCACAGTATTCTTGAACGGATCATCATGCCGGAGTCCATTGAAAAACATGGCAAGAATTGGTTAGGAGTGGACTTCCTCATCTTCAACACCTATATTTGGTGGATGAACACAATCACCATGAAAGTCTTGTGAGTAGTTGAGCTCTCTCTCTCTCTCTCTCTCTCTCTCTCTCTCTCTCAAAATTATTAGGTCTGGACACCGGACGTAGAGATACGTCCGGTGTCCAATAAAACATTGACATGTGGAATGTACACGTGTCCGCGGAATTTTAAGTTAAGCATACCAAAAGCGCAGGAAAAGTGCAGTGAAAGCACAGTCAAAGTGCAATCAAAGCACATTTAAAGCGCAGTCAAATTAAACACAATCCACATGACGAATTTTAATTGTATATCCGGACCTATTTTTAGGTCTGGTGTTGGGACCTAATAATTTTTTCTCTCATTTATATGATTGATTTGATGTATGTGGGGTGGAGGCAGGAGGGGGTCTTTTGATGGGGGATCGACGGAATATGAAGAGATAGATCGGCCGGTGGCGTATGAGAGAGTGCTTAGAACTTGGGCAAAGTGGGTGGATGAGAACGTGGATCCCAAGCAGACCATGGTGTTCTTCATGAGCATGTCTCCTCTCCACATCAAGTAAGTTACTTTACTACAAAGTATTTTATTTTGAAAATCATTGTCACCTAAAGTAGTTATTAGAATCAAAATTTAGTCAATATAAATCTTGAAGTAATTGAATTTATTTTAAATTTTATTATATATATATATATATATATATATATATTATAAAATCATTTCAAATATTAAATTCAATTAAAAATAAATTAAAATCTTAAAAACGAATACTGATTCTTTTTTATTCACTTAAAAATCCTTCAAAATGCCTTCATTATGCTCTTGATTCATCGAACTTGTACTAAAACGCTTAATTTATTGGCCAAGCAGCATTTTGTTAACCAGTGAGTTGAGCGACTTGAAACCCGCAGATCAGGAAATACTTTATGCATCTTACAGCTAATTTTTTTTTATTGCTTTCAGCTAGTTTTTTTATTACTTTTTAAAACAGTGGCTAAAAACTATTCCAAACGAAATCTTAGAATACTGCTTTTCACCCTCAAAATAAATATAAATTAAACTTTTGTATAGCCTAATTATGTCAATAAATATGAATTAATTTGTATTTAATATAAATCATGTGAATTTTAAACTTCTTCTTTCATATCTGTACTGCAATAAAATTAATGAACTCCTAGAACTTGTAGGAATTTGTTTAAGCAAGATAGCATTACTCTGACTATTTTGTTTATTTGGCCTTCTCTTCTTGCACAATAATAATTTCAGTAAAGTTTCTTGACTTTAATATATGCTTTGAGAGCAAGCAAAGTAATGCAAAGAAGTGAGAAAAGTAGCTTTAGAAGGAGTAGGTTGGAAGCACAGCAGAGACCAGCATAACTACTAGTCATCAGCAAGCACCAGGACGGCTTTTTTATTGTTTTTTAAAATAATTTTTTAATATAAAAGTTTAAAATTTTAAACTAGAAAATAATTTTAAGAAGCAATAAAAAAGCCGTCCCAAACGAAGCCTTAATTAGTTTAATAAATCACATATGCACTTTCCATCATATATGCCTTGTGTCATTTTGGTTTGTTTTATGTTAATTAACTTATTATAAGAATTTAATAAGTTAGATTGAAGAAGTCATTAATTGAGAACAAAGTTAAACCTCTGCAATTTAGGATATGGCAAATTAAAGTTGCCTAAAGCCTCGAATTGCCCGAGTATTATATCTAGTACAAGCCATTGAAGTTAGTTCTAACTCGACCCATTGTACCAAGCTCTTGAACTTGATTAAGAGACTTAGGAGATCTTTGATGCAACTCTTTTTTTTTTGCCAAATCAGGTAGCGACATACATTCTTCTTTATTTACTTGATTAAGAATTAGAATTACTCATAGTCTATCACTATTTGCTCAGTTTTTTTTTTATTCTTCCACCTTTGGGTCTAGGTGGTCTTTCAATTATCTACTACTAATATTAGAGGAGAATTATATTATATAGTATTATCTTGAGTTTAGTGTTTGTTCCCGGTGTCATTTTGCGACATTAAAAGATAACTCCTATCATTTGATTTAGCTTATATTGTTCTACACTTTAGGAAATCCGTCATAAATGTAAATTACCAATGGATTTTCTTCATTTGGTGGTGAAAATGATCGTTAGAAAATGACATTTTTCCTGTAGTGCTAATACATAAACCACCACAACATCTTAGAGAATATGCTAGGGTAAGATTAGATGAACCCTATGATGCGACCACATATCCTTTCATACAGACGTTGTAGGTAATTGTAGAGATGATCGAGCTCCAACTCAATAATCTCTTCTTGAATGTATGGAAAATACTCACTGTATTAGTAAACTTGAACTCCAAACCACAACAACCATGTGATTATCCTATTAGTGACTAAGATAGCCAGCTATAAGAATAGGTAGCCTATTCAGCCTCCCAACAAAGGTAAAGATTCTTCTGCGAACAAGTTGGAGAAGTACCATTGATGATTCTAATAGAACGGATTAAAATTTCTCAGCTTGATGAGGCTTGTGACAAGGCCATCATGTTTCTGAGGTGGATGAAAAATTAGAGGCGTTGGCTTAAGATGATTTGAGGTATGTTTGAAATGCTAATCAATCCCGTCACTTTACAAAATATTTCAAATTCAAATTCGATATTCTGCATTTTAACAAGCTTATGCATAGAGGGTTATTTGGATTAGTTGAAGTTTGTCGAAACTTTCTTCAAATGTATGGAGATGCTAGAGAAAAATAAAGTCAAAGTTGTGGCTTTTACAGTAAAGGGCACACTAGTTGTTTGGTGATAACAGCTAACTAAAAGTACATCAATACAAAGAGGGAGTAATTCTAATCAAATCACAACTGAGAATGCATATATTGATCTGAGAATGATTCCTTTCTATTGATTATGATCATATCATATTTCACCAAAGTCATGTGCAATGGAAATTGATAAACGAATACAAAAAAGATTTCTATTATTTAAAATACAAAGTCAAACTCCATGAACCAAAATGGCACAAGGTATCACATTACATTAGTAAACTTAAGAACTCACTGTTTAAATTGCTTTCCGGTCAATCCATTTAATCATTATCCAAAGTTATAAATTTTGCATACAAGGTTGAGAGAAACAATCTTGACTCTCTTAACATATTCTTCTACCAAGAAGAT